TAGGTATAGTTTAGAGAACTCATTCATTGGATTCAAGGTTAAAAGTACATAACAGAAAACAAACAGAGTAGATAACGGAAAACAAGCAGAGAACATTTTTTAGAAAACAAATAGAATACTTTACTGAAAACAAACATATAAACTATATTCTATATAGTTTATGAAACTTACTTATAGTGTATTTATTACAAAGTAACTTTTCATTATTCTACGCATGATCATCAATATAACATTTGTGAGACAACCTTCATGTGCTTTTCTAAGTACCCAATAACTCCTGAAATTATTACCAGAGTCTTCTTGGAGGTAGAGCGCAACACTTGTATATAGATCTATATGAGACTGACAATCCCACATATAAATAGCTAGCTACAATTAGGCGGGCATGCCTGGGGTGACAAATGTCCTACCAATTGCGACGCCTGAAGAACGTCCTGTTCAAGCGATCACATGTCATCTAGTATGGTTATAATAACTCACAATTTGGTATTGAACAAAATGATTAGTGTATGAATAAGTAAACTTCACATAGTCTTAATTAATTATAAAACTATAACACAATATTTTACAAGTACAATTGGTCATACTAGTTAATTGAAAATACATGAATTGAATACTAGTACAAGAACATTATACTATTTCAGTATAGAGAAACATACTTTTCATGGTTTTATGAGAACTAAACTACATTTTACTACTTTAGAGTATAATAAATTTCACACATTTTGGTTACAATATACCACAACAGAAAATATAGGATTTTCTAGGAAAAACATGTTGATAGTATCAAGGAACAAGAAAACAAATTTCAATTAAAAACATACTTATGAACTCACCAACTTAATTGTTGACACCTTTTCAAAACTACTTGTACTATTAGGGAAACATTAATACAAGTACAACCACAACTTTTTGTGAAGACGGAGATCTATAAAACTCATGTCTTTAAAACTTGTACTTTTGGTGCCATATACATTATGTTTTGAAAATAGATGTAAAACTTATAAATATGTAAATAAAATGGTTGTTGTACTTTGATTACTATTATGCATTGTTGTGATACTGTACATGACATCGTCCACCCCTGAAAAATTTCCGCCATTCCGGTTTGGGGGTGTCACAGATTGGTATCAGAGCATTGTGTGACAAATTGGTATCGGAGCATTGTTTATAGTGAACTCACTATATCAATCCATAAAAGATATACAAACTATAAATGTTATGGAGTTGAAGTGCTTTGACTACAAGTATACTCTTGAAATCTAAGTATTTTATAAGAAGTATACTAACATGCATACATACAAGAAATAATGTCACAGTAAGAACTATACAAAAGTATTTGGATGTTGGACACTACAGTTAAACCTGGATAGTTATGTAATCATATCTGGGATCAATATAACCCGATCAACTATATTTATTTGAGATATGACCAACATGTGTTTGGAGTGATTGTGGTGTTGCAACAAGTCTAAAACTTACTTAAGTACTAGAATAACTTAGAATCAAACATAAAGATAAAATACTATAGGAGTATTTTATGATACTATAACACATAAACAAAAAGATATAAAAGAGTCATCCTTACTAGAAACAAACATGTGAAAACAAGGGATCATTACTGGTAAAGCTATAAGTATTAAGTATATATTACAGTTATATATAATTAAGGTTTTATAGACTTAGAAGGGATGATTTAGCTTTACTTCCTTTTCCTTGTTTGGATGTGGATATAGAGTAGGATCGTTTATTCGAAGGTCTATTCCACCTAAGTTATATATAATTAGTATACATTTTATGGTTATAGAAGGACCCATTATGAGTCATACAGTATAAAATACATTAACTGTTAACTATAAATTTCTTATATGTACACTTGAAATTGTTTATTTGACTTATCAAATCTACCAGATGTCTCTTATATCCCTATTCTCGCATAGATAACATGGCTAGAATATGAACTTTAGTGTTAAATATATTGTAATGGTTTGGAGGATTTTAGTGTTTACATTATATTTTACACTAATTATAGGTATAATGTAAAAAATAGTGTTAAGGGTTGGAGATGGTTGTAATGTTCTTGTGAAATTGTTCTTATGTCATTTTGTGGTTATGTCGTTGTGTGATTGTGCTCATGTGTCTTTGTGTGTTATCTTGTCAAGACATGTGAATATGTCAAATTTTTCAATGTGTTTATGCTCTCTAATGAGATTGTACTCTCATTAATATTTGTAGTATAATTTCTTACTTGCTTTTCTTTTATTGTAAAATATCTAAAGATAGATGGAATTCAATCAATTTAATCATTCCCTAATGCAACTCAAAGATTAAAAGAAAAAAATATACATAGAAGGGGAAACAATAGCCTACCCAGAAGATAAGGTGAGAGAAATTTTGTCATTTGCCCAATTGCATTAAAATCTAGAGTACAAATGATCCTTCTTTAGGATAGAATTCAACAGAAATTCAAGTTAACAACACATACAACAGCAACTGAAAGATATTATGGGCCAAACAACCAACAACTGTGACTGTGTTTTACTTGTCAGAACTCAGAAATGGGTGTTTGAGTTATGGCTTCGCATTGCTTGCCTGAGTTCACCCAAGAAATCAGTCTAACTCCCTGAAGCTCCAACTCCAACTCTGCCTGTCTGAGAAATCATCTGATGAAGAAGTCGCAATTTTCCCCATGCTGATGCACTGCTTCCTGAATACATAACTCGTGGATCGAATAAATCGGTTGAGGGATTTTCATATGCATTGATAGCAGCTGCCCAACGGTTGTTGAAGAGTTGATAAGCTTCACTGCTACAACATCATTGCAATCCAATTAAGCGTGGTGGATCAGCATGATCCAAAATATAAACATTTCTTTGATTTTTATCCCCATACACACCATACATTAGAACAATACGTATCAAATACACTCAATTTCAGCACATAGCACCAAACAAGCAAAAATAATCAGACATACTTAAACATGAGCATCGTAGTTGGTTGGGATTGTCGAGATCTTCGTTTCTAGGGTTTGTAATTCGAGAGTAGCTTGAGCTTAGTCATCCGACCCCGAGTCGAAATTGGAACTTGAGGCAGACTGGAATAAAGGGGTAATGATGGTTGTAGGGACAAGGGTGGGGGCAACAATGAATAGAATAAGAAGAGGGAAGAGGTGGAGGTGATGATATATACGAAATTGGGTTTTAAAACTGATACTCCTAAATTAAAGGGACATTAATTGATTTATATATTTACAAAAATTAACTAAATGTATGATTACATATTTACCCTTATAAAATGATTGGCCTACATTTATTAATATAATAACACAATAATTACTTTAAATACCTGAACCTAGCTCTCTCTCTCTCTCTCTCTATATATATATATTATATATATATTATATATATATATATATATATATATATATATATATATATAGCATTGTTTTCAATTTTTAAACTTTGTTTATCTCTTATCTCTAGGCAGAGGCTAAGCGTTATGGAATTGAAATAGCAAAACTGGTTCAACTATTTGAAACTGGCAGTCATGATTGGACAGATACTACATTAGCAGTGTGAAAAATCTATGAATGTAGTATCTGTCCAATCATGACTTTTAAAAAGCTAACCTAAGTATATAAGTCCAATCACGACTTTTAAAAAGCTAACTTAGGTATAAATACCTAACATATTAGATTTTTAAAAGTTAAAATAGACAAATACTACATTCTAAGACCCAAGATTTAATTACAATTAGAATTCAATCGATGGTTATCCGACCATTGATAACCTTATGCCCTTGTCATCCACTTTTAGCCTGGTTCTCATACCTCTCTATTAATGCCTCATATTCTGCATCAATATTTATTTCTTTTAGCCTTCCTTAGATAATTAATTTAACTACTCGACTTTTGTTTTCATCTTCAACCTCAACGTTGTTAAGCTTTCCCATCTAATTTCCCACAACAAGAAAAAGCAAACCAAAAAAAATTATTTAAGCTTTGGTAATATTGGAGATTATAAATCATACATGTTGCAATTCTTTTTGATCTTTTCTCCTAAGCAAGAGCATGTGATGAATAACTACAGAGAATTAAAAAAGTAATACATGCAACTTTGTTTGAAAACCCTATACACTTTATAAGAAAAAGATTAACATTGAAAACTATAAGTATAAAGAAGATTCATTGTGATAAAGATAAGAATCTATTTAATCTCACATCTACTTATATCTATTTTCAGAAAAGTTTGGTATTTCTTATCAGTAATTCTATTGCCATTGCTCTAAAGATAAGAATCTCTTCAAAGGAAGGCTAAAAGAAATAAATAATGAAGCAGAATACAAGGCAGTGATAGATAGGTATGCCAACACTTATAGTAAGCATGACAAGTGTGTAAGGTCATCATACGTGGGATAATCATTGATCGAATCTGAATGGTGATTAAATTTTGGGTCTTAAAATGTAGTATTTTTCTATTTGAACTTTTCAAAAACTAATATGTTAAGTATTTATGCTTAGGTTTAAGTCGTATGATTGGATTTACATACAGACTTAAACCTAAGCATAAATATTAATAGATTAACTTTTTAAAAATCAAAATAGAAAAATACTACATTTAAAGACCTAGGGAAATCTGCAAAAAGTCCCAAAGTTTTGTCTCAATTTATGATTTAGTCCTAAATTAATTTTCACTTATGAAAAAGGATAGGTTACCAGCTATTACACTCAGTTTAGCCATTCGAACTCGTAAACCTTGTATTAGCTAGTTAACCCAACTAACTGTGCTTATCACCCTCCATTAGCCTCCCCGTTATCCACTTCTCTTTTGTAAAAACTCTTTCTTACCCTCCATCGAAGCAAAACTCTACCTGAAAAGAATCAAACGTAAGAAAATCCATGTCCATGTGGTCCTCAAATATCTTGTTTCCCTTATAATATTTGATTAATTTTTGTTTTGTAGTGATAATGGAGGATAATAGATGATTTGGATACCATTGACATGGAATTGGATGAGTTGTTCAAACACAAACAAAGAGGTCAATGCAAAGATGATTTCATAAACACTCTCACAGACGAAGCGCTTGACAAATGCACCATACCTGAGATAAACCTAAATGATTTTGAAGGAATGTCAGAAGATGAAGCACCACAAGAGAAACTGAGTGATAGTGAGGGTGACGATGAAGACAAATTGCAGTTTCAATACTTAACCCATGATCTGAAGGTGAAATGGAATACTATGAAGCCATTTCGTAGGGAGAGGTATGAATCACCACACCAACTAAAGCTTTGTTTGACAAATTACTCTATAAGCAGGGGTTATCTAATTAGGTTCAAGAAATGTGATAATGTAAGGCTCGTGGCTATATGTGCGAGTAACCCTGAGAAATTTCAATGTCCCTTTATTGTAAGGGCCTCATGGATGAGCACTAAAAGATCGTTCCAAATCAAAAAACCGGTTGAGCAACATACATGTGTTAGGAATTTCCGTAGTGCTAATATTATGGATCCCACATGGATAGCTAGGCAGTTTTTGAAGGAGATGGTTAGGAAGCCAAATCTAAAATGTAAGGAAATGCAAGCTATTATTCAAAGCAGGTTCCATTGCAAGGTTTCATGGTTAAAATGTTATAGAGCAAGGTGTAGAGCAATTTCTTTAATAGATGGAATGTTGAGTCATCACTATGCAAAAGTATGAGATTATGGACATGAGTTGAAGAGGTCCAATCCAAGGAGTACAATTCAAATATATGTCACTATAAACCCTAATAGCACTACTATTTTCCATATGATGTATACTTGTTTTAAGGCTATCAAAGAAGGATGGAAATTTGGTTGTCAAAGAGTTATTGGGCTTGAAGGGAGTTTTTTTAATGGACAATGTAACGGTGAGCTGGTAACTGCCATAGGGAAGGATGCAAATGACCATGTGCATCCCATTGCTTGGGCAATAATTGAAACGGAGAACAATCCCAACTGGCAGTAGTTATTGGAACTATTTCATGATGACATGGAATTACAAGGAGGCTTGGATTTGTGTGTTATTTCTGATCAACACAAGGTAATGCTTTTGATTATATTTTTTTTCATTTCATTTATACATGTATCAAGTAGTTACTAATGATTTTTTAATGTAATTGATAGGGTCATTTGGAAGCTGTAAAGGTTGTACTACGACATGTGGAGCACATAGAATGTGCAAGACATGTGTATGCAAATTTCAGAAAGGTATTCATTGGTATACAGTTCAAGAATATGTTTTGGACAGTTGCAAGTCAACTGTTGAGGGAGACTTCAAATTGAATATGGAGAAGATCAGAGAAGTCAATCCTGCTGCTTATGATCATTTGATGGCAAGGGAGCCTAAATCTTGGTGCAAGTCATTTTTTAAAGGCGGAATGGCATGTGAGTATGTTGAAAATGGAATGGCAGAGTGTTTTAATGCCATCGTACTTGGTGCTAGAGAGAAGTATTTGTTGGCCAGGCTTGAGGAGATTAGACTATATATGATGGAAAATGTTATTTAACTTGAAGCAAGAAGTACGTAAATAGGTTAATTATGTGTGTCTAGGACCTAATAAGAAAACGGATTAGTTTGGTTTTGATATCAAGTATTATAAAATTAAGACAATGTATGAGTTTAGTATTGATATTAATATGTATACTAAGTTTATCTGTTAATGTGTTTGCATGAGTTGGTATGTTCATCATAGTGGTTTGAATGATTATGAAGTGAGAAATGGCTTCCATTCATATGGAGTGAACTTATAAGGGATGTACTGTACATGCATACTTTAGGAATTGTCTGTGATCCCCTGTGTCCATGCCCAAGCAACCATAATTTACACACAACAGGATCCAACTAGATTCATCAACACATGGTTTGGTAAGGACAAGTTTTTAGCAACTTATAAGTCTAACACCCTTCCTGTTAATGACAGTAATATGTGGGAACCAAAACCATATGTCACACCCCAAAACCGAGAACGGCGGAAATGTTCAGGGGAGGAGGACATCATGTAATGTATCACCACAATGTAAAGTAGTAAGCAAGCAACAACATCATCCATTGCATTAATAGTATAATTTTGATTACAAGTGTGTTCTTTCATAATATACAACAATAAAATGAATAATCAAAATAACACGAGTCTGGACTGCTCCGTCTTCACAAACCTGGTCGTCGTACCTATCTATGTGTGACCTGAGAATACAAGTTTTTTTGAAAGCGAGTATCAACCAAAAAGTTGGTGAATTCATAAGTATTAATGTGTCTTTGATGTGTAAAACTTGTAATGAAAGTCTTGACATTGTTTTGAAAGAAAAATCATATAAGTATGTAAATGTTTGTAAGTAATGGAAAGCGTTTGAATAACCCAAGAAATCCTTATGATCCCTATAAAAGAAGTCTTCTACCAACACCCGACTGTTTTGAAAGTAGTCTTCTACCAAGACCCGACTGTTTTGAAAGTAGTCTTATACCAAGACCCGACTGTTTTTGATAGTAAGTATCTCTGTAAATGTGATGGGTTTTCCCTGTTTAACTATTAGTATAAAACTATAATATACCTCATCGTTTACGTGTATGAGTCATAATATAAAGGTAATAAGGAAAATAGTTATCTATATTAAATATATCCTACCTCGTCGTTCATGTGAATGTGTCACAAAGTAAAGAAAGAAAATAACATAATAACTTAAGTACTATCATTTTGCACTTGGATAACTAACAATGTTAACTTAAGACATCCGTAGATGTACATTTACCTCTGTTGCTAACAGTTGGGTGTAGGAATAGTTAATCCCTTAAAGTATACCTGTAATGGTATCAACCTAAGACATCCGTAGATGTGCATTAACCTCTATAGCTAACAGCGGTGATAGGAATGGTTAGTCCCACAAAGTATCCTTTGGTACTAGGATATAAATTCCAATCTATCTCATCGATTATGTGATTGAATCACAAGATAAAGATAAGAAGGATGAATATATAACAATATCTACACATATAATATGTAATAGTAACCCATCATATAATATCTATGTAAAAGTATTCATGTAAGCGTATCTATGTAAATGTACTCATGTAAGCGTATCTATGTAAATGCACTAATGTAAGCTGATATGTGCATAATTAGTTAATTATTTAACATATATTCTTGGTTATTTTTGGTTAGTTATGAGAATAATATGGACAAAAGGTACTTAAAATGCTTTGAATTGTGTTTTCAGTCCAAAAGATATGCTTGGAGGCAAAAAGGAGAAAAGGGAAAGCAAGTGAAGGTTAAAGAATGGAAAGAGAGACTTACTCGGCGAGTAGGTCAGGATTACTCGGCGAGTACACGATGAGTTGCCAGGAGATATGTACGACTGCTGATCTAGAGACGGATAAGTATTGACCTACTCGGCGAGTTGATTCTGCTACTCGCCGAGTACCCTCTGTTTTGGGATATCTTTAAAAGACGAATCCTTATCACATGGGACAGAACCCCTGGCGAATTTTGAAGGATTAGCTGCGACTAAAAGGTTCAGAAGGCGCTGGAGAACCCTAAGCTTCAAGAGTTGGAAGAATTCAAGTAATTAGGTTGATTCTACCACTTAGACTTAGGAATTAAACATGTTTGCTTCCATAAACTTTGTTTTTATGCTTGTTTCTACTGCAACTATGAGCTAAACCGTTTTTGTTTCTGTTTGGGGAATACCAAAGAACTCCTATGGTTTAATTATTGAATTTTGTTTAATTGTCTATTGGTGATTTATTAAATTAAGTTTGTTAAAGAACCTTATGTGTTAATCACTACTATTTTCTGTTAATTGGAAGGCAATTAGGTTGCATGAACATCACTTAATTGTTGACCTCATATGTCTATGTGAATGCTAAAACATATGCTTGGAAGTAATGAGTATGAAACTAAGATTAATAAGAAAATAGGAAGATTAATGTGTGAGCTTGTTGAGAAACCATCAACAAGAGGTTAATTGAATTAATAACTTAATTGACCACTACAAATCTTATTTAATCCAAATAATTAATCTAGGGAATTAATTAGTTTAAACACTTGATCAACGCTTAAATTAGTTAATTGTCTAAGGGTTAGGAGTAATGAACATGAACCTAACTACATCATTGGTAACCAATAGCGATTAATCTACCTTAACTTAAATAACCATAGGAGTGAATTGGTTGAACCTAAATAGAAACATCTTTATCAAATTTGGTGAATAGTTGTTGCTTTAGTTAATTAGTTAAATTTAGTTTGTTTAAGTTTCTAGTCTTGCAAAACTAGAGAAAAACCATTTACTTTTATTATTTGTTAAAAATTAGCTATTAGTTTAATTTCCGTTCCCTGAGTTCGATACCTTACTTATCAATCTATACCACGTATAGACAGGTTCACTGCCTTTGTGTGCTCAAATTATTAATAAAAAGAAGGGATAAAACTAGTTGAATTTACACACATCAAGTTTTTGGCGCCGTTGCCGGGGAACGGTTCTAAATAATTAAGCTAATTCCTAATTTTTTCGATCCTTTGTGTGAGTTTACTTGCATAAAGTTCATTTATTGCAATTTAGTAACTAGTAATTAGGTTTTAGTATCTGTTTTAGTTAGGTTAAAAACTTAGAATTTTTTTTGAAAACTCACTGATACTCGCCGAGTGCACTCGCACCTACTCGGCGAGTAACAGCTTATTTAGAAAATTTTCTTTTATTTGTTTACAATCTTTATGTTCTTTTTACGCTTTTATTTGATTAATTTCAGGACTTTCATGACCAGAGGAGCAAACACACCACTGGTACCCCCGTTTGAAGACCCCGAATCCGAATTGAAAAGAAACAAAGGGAAGGACGTGGAGAGTTCAAGCACACCAAAGAAATCACCATTGTCCAACTTGAAGACTGTTTTCGGGAAAAAGAAGAGCAGCAAATCAGGAGCTTCAAGCGCTTCCTTAATAATTGAAGAGCCAATTCAAGAAGAGATTAGATACGAAACCGAGGAAGAAGACGAGGCAACTTACGAACAAGACACCGAATCGGAGGAAGAGTTAGCATTCACTATGGCTAACATTGATGAAATTCCCATGGGAGAATGGAAGAAGAGGATGCGCGACGACCATGGCCCGGGACTTGTGCAACCCGCAATTCCCGCAACTGCCACCTTTGAGCTAAAAGGTCATATCCTAGCTTCACTCAAGGAAATACCTTTCTACGGGAAAGATCATGAAGATGCCTACAAACATTTGGATGAAGTAAATGATGTTGCTGATTACTTCAACATTCCAAATGTCACCCGCGAAACTCAGCTGCTTCGGATGCTTCCGGTAACCTTCAAGGGTGCTGCTAAAGACTGGCTCAAATCACTTCCTCCCGGGTCAGTCACTACTTGGGCCAGAATGAAGGAAGAGTTTATTGATCACTTTTGCCCACCATCCAAGATAGCCAAGCTCAAGAAGGCCATTGCAAATTTTGAACAACAAGCTGGAGAGTCGTTATATGAGCATGGGAGAGGTACAAAAGTCTGCTACGAAATTGCCCACACCATGATCTAAATAGCCAACAAGAAGTTTCCATCTTTTATGATGGAGTCAATGTCACGACCCGGCAGCTGCTAGACTCACAAGGCCCACTTACAAAGAAGCCACCCCCGGTGATCAAAGAACTAATTGAAGAATTCTCTAAACACTCTAGAGAATACCACAACCCTAGGAATGATGTCACGAGGGGAGCCGCATACGCTGCTACTGAAGATTTATCCGCGGTTATGGCCATGTTAAAAACCATGGATAGAAGAATGGACAAAATGGATCAAACTATCCATGCCATACGGGTGGGTTGCGAGAATTGCAATGGACCTCACCTCACTAGGGATTGTGATTTGGATGAGCACGGCAACAAAAAGGCACAAGTATGCTATTCGAGCGGTGACCGGTATGATGAAGACTGGCGAAAACAAAAGAAGGAGTGGCTGCCTTACGAAGAGTACAAGAAGGCCAAGAGGAGAAGTATAGACAAAAAGGGAGAGGCTTTTACCAAAAGGAGGAGCCGGTGCAAGAGAAGAAGCCAAGCTTGGAAGATATGCTAACTAAATTTGTGGCTGCTTCCGAGAAAAGACACAGTGACCACGATGCTGCTATCCAAGAAACAAGAACAATGCTCAGGAACCAGCAAGCATCCATCCATAATATAGAAACTCAGCTTGGGCAACTCGCTCAACAACTAAACCAAAGGTCACCGGGAGAGCTTCCTAGCAAAACCGAGAACAACCCACGAGGCGCGCAAGTGAATATTGTTACCACAAGAAGTGGGAAGATTATTACTCCCTTGGCCCCCATTCGAACTGAAGCGAACAAGGACTCACAGAAGGAAGAAACGGAAGTACAAGTTGAAACCAACATTCACAATCTGAGAGCCCTACTCGCCGAGTAGGACCGATGGACTCGGCGAGTACATCTGAAAAAACTAATGATCAGCCACCCTTGAAACCATACCAGCCTCCAATGCCATACCCAGCCCGAGCCAAGAAGGAGAA